TTCCCCTCCGTTCTTCTCTCAGGATCTTGGGCACACACGCACACGCGCCCGGCGTGAATTTTAAGTCACCGGGTCCGGGACATGAACCGCGGTCGACTACGTGGGAGTCCAGCGACATAGCCATTACGCTAACTGCTGGTCCCCCACATTTCTTTTTCCAGCATGATTACCATGCATATCAGTCAAAACAAAGACATTACTATACTCAGCAGCAGCAGCGAATAGCTCTTTATCGAACATGTTTTCAGCCTACAGTGTTTGTAACCTGTAGCAGATTTATTGGGACATCACCCCGTTACAGTTGAGGGGTGCCATGCTTGCACATCAGTGTACACGTGAATGCTCGCCTGTTCCCGGGCCATGCAGTGGGTGTGGACTCCCCGGTACATAAACCCAGGCATGCGAGGAACACCACTTTATTTTCCACAATCAAATGTAGTTCATGTTTCAAGCTCCTTCTTCCCCGGTGGTGGAAATCTAAACCAGCCAATTATCAACATCAGTCACTTTGGGTTCATTTCAGTCTGTGGGACTTGTTTGTCTCGAGCAGATCAGGGTGAGTTCCGTCAATTTAGGGTTTGTTCTCCTTGCCCCCGTCCCTTCCTCCTTTCCCAGCTCAGTTCCAGCTCATGACTTAATACAGCATCACAGTCTTGCTGATGGGAGCTGGGGCCACGTGGCACCAGTAGAACCAGAGGCAGACGTGGTGTCCGTGCTGTGTAACCCACCCTTTGAGAATCTGTGTCCTCCCCAGTCCTCCGCTGTGGGGTCTCAGCTGCCTTAGCCCAGTGTCCCTTCGTCATGATCCCATGGTACCACCGCACACCTTCCTGGGGCGTTTCCACTGCTCTACACCCTGCGCCCCATCTGAGATGAGCCAAGGCCCACTGGCTGTCTTTATTCTTTATTATGATACATAAAATATTGCTGTCTGGCATCTGACGGAAACTTAGACGGGGTAAACTTCAACAGCTTCTGATGTTCTCCCCATTTTGCAGATGAGGAAACAGGCCCAAAGAGATGATGCCAAGGTCATGCAGCTAGTAAACAGGGACTTGAATAGAAGCAGTCTGCATTATAACCACACGGCCATTCTGCCTGCATGGGTAACCCACCCTTTCCAGTTTCATCCTCATGGTCTTACTGGATGTTCCCAGACACCTCATAAAGACAAGGAACGAGGCGAAGATTACAGGAAGAAAACTGAAGCCCAGAGGGAAGAGGCAACTGGGCCTCGGTGACCCAGCTAGGGAACACTGGGACACGCTCTAGACACTGTGCTCCATGGAGAAGGGCCCGACCTTGCCCGATGACTCCCGACACCAGCAGACCCGGTCTCCCCGCGCACACACACGTGCATGTCCAAACACGTGCACGCACAGAGCAGAGCCGGCCTGACCTCCTCCCGTGGCTTCATCCCAGCACACAAAAATCATTACCCGGTGCTCGCGCTTGGCCTCCCTCTCCGGGCAGCAGCACAGGACTGCCGGCGGGGAAAGTGGAACCACAAAGCTGTGATTAATTCGCCACCTCAATTACCAGGGATAATTTGGGAAGGGCATGTCCGTTCCTGGAGCCAAGAAGAGCAACTTCAAAGGTGATTCCCAAGTGCACCAAAGTGAAGTCTGGCCATTAACCAGGAACCAGCTCCTGTGTGGGGAGAGGAGAGGCTGTGGGAGACAGCAGAGTGAGCTAGGAGACTGTGAGTTCAAGTCCCGGCTCCGCCCTGGGGGCCTTGGAGACATCACTGCTCAGCCATGGCACATCAGGGACGGCCCTCTGGCATTAGCCTCTTTTAACAATAATAGCAATAACTTCTAATATGAGGGCACCTCAAAAGCTTTGTGGAAATGGTATTAAAGTACAAATTTATGTTAGCACAAAAGAATCTATAATCCATACATGGTTTTTTGGTTTTGTTTTTGTTTTTAGTACTTTTGCCGTAGGGCACCCGGGCTCACTAGAGAAAGCAACAGAGAGAGGAAAAGTGAGAAGTCATTTCTCTGGGAGATGGCCACACCGCAATCCTTTCTCCTGGGATGCTGGGCATGCACCCACATGTGCCTGGTGTGAGTTTCAAGCTGCTCGGTCGGGGACTTGAACTGCGGTCAGCCATGTGGGAGTCCAGTGCCTCAACCAACACATTACTTGCTGGCCCCCCATACATAGTTTTTACGTATCCCTCTTATACTTAGCAAGTCTGGTTTCTCTGGGCCAGGGATCACATCTGTCTTGCCCATTCTAGATCCCTAACATGAGGCCTGGCACACAGGTACTCTATAAATAACTGTGGAGTGCTGAACGGTCACCCCTTTTATCAACACAAACTCTTACAAACCTCTCATTTTATTTCATGAAGCTGGAATTAGTGTCCCCATCTTCTAGATGAGGCTGGGAAAAGTACATGCTGGTGACAGTCGCTTCTGTGCTAGCTCTCTCCGGCTTTATCCTGTCTGGCCTTTGTTTGCTCCTCTCCCTCATCCCTGTATCACTGAAGCCCTCTCCCCCCAACTCGAGCCCACACACATACACACCTAGAAGTCGTGGTGGCCCTGGGTTCACACATGCCCATGGCTCAGGCAGAGCAAAGCTGTTGCATGACACGCCACACAAAGAGAACATGACGATGACTGGAAGGGCGCTACCACCAACTCCCCAGATCCATGCCTCCTTCCTAACAGGATCCTCAATTTGCCAACTTGGTGCTTTGGGAATTGACTCATCCTTAGTGTCAGGGAATTTGTCAGCTGGCTTGACAGACTGGCAGATAACCCATCCTCTGGCCATAGTCCTTGATTGGGAAATGGACAGATGATCCAAGACAAGCCTATTGGGGCCAATAAGTCCCCCTTCCAGAACTTTTTTGAGCTGCCATTTTCTACTGTATTCTCATCTAGAAACATAGAGTCTCGGCAGCTTCTTGACACCTTCTTAGGCACAGAAGAAGAGAGTCTGACAATGGAACTGATATTGAAGCTACAGAAATGAATGTACATGAGCTGCTGGATCAAGCTGTACCTGAAAGTCAATCTATCTCTGGCTCTTCAGTACTGTCAGCACAACAACTGTTTTTATAGAGGTCTCATGACCCCTCTTGTCGTTAGAGTAGATTGTAGGAAAGTTGGGGACAAGGGCCTCATCCTCCAGCTCCATCTGTACTGCCACTTCTGTCCACATGGCTAACTAACGACTTCAAAGTTATACTCCCAAATGCAAATCTGGAGTGAAGCCATGGAGGCATTGAGGGTGGAGCCGAAGCCCCTGCAGCAGAGGACACTGGGAGAGGCCAGCCAGTCTCCTCATATTTCTTCCATAAACAAGTTCCTGGATTTTGGCCAGCCCTGATAGAAAGGCAGATACTCCATGCACCACAGTGGCACTTGGCTGGCCTGACTCCCCACCCTGTCTTTCTGACTTTGGCATTTTTGTCCCCAAACCAATTCTACCTATTGAGCACATTTTAGTTTGTGAAATGACTTGTTTATTTAGCAGGCTCCTAAAACCTCTAAACTCCCCCCTAATCAATAGAAGTTAGAGCCAGAATGGAAGAGGAGCGTGGTGAGCGAGGTCACTGGGGTTTGGGAGCCTGGGTTCAATCCTGCCTCTGCTGCTCCTGGGTTGTGTGATTTGGGGCAGAATCGCTTAACCTCTCTGTACTCAGAAGAATAATGGCACACCAATGACATCCATGTCCTAATCCCTGGAACCTGGGAACACAGCAAAAGGAACTTCGCAGTCACGATTAAAGGTCAGGATGTGACGTGCAGACTATCCTGGGTCACCCAACGAGGCTCCATCTAATCGCGCGAAGGCTTAACGGCAGAGAACTTTTCCTGGCTGCGGTTGGAGGGAGGCATGACGAGGACAAGAGTCAGGGAGAGGATGGGATCATAGTGTAATGACTATGTCGCTGAACTCCCATGTAAATGACTGCGGTTCGAGTCCCAGACCCAGTGGCTTATACTCACACTGGGCGCATGTGCGTGCGTGCCCAAGATCCCGAGAGGAGAAAGGAGGAGAAGGGATTGCTGTGTGGCCCCTCTGGGGGTGATTTCTTGCTTTCTGTCTCTCTGTCTCTCTCTGTCTCTCTGGCGAGCGTATGTACCCTAAAAAAAAAAAAAAAAAAAAAAAACGTGGGGGAGCGGAAACAGTCGCGC